TGATTTAAGCGATTTGGGACATATTATTCAAACTTTCTGAAGTACTTGATTGATGATTTGAAGTACTTGATTCTAAAACTTAAAGATCTAATTATATAATTGGATGATTTTAGTAACTAATAGCTTTGTCTGTATACTTTTAGTAGCATTTATCGTATTTCATTTTTCCATTTTAAGTATACTACCAAACCGTTCAACCTGCCACAACCTGCAAGGGTTGGGTTATATTTTTTTAATGAGTAGGGTTGGGTTGGGTTGAGATTTTTTTCAAACTGCTATAATTAGATTGAGTTATAAAAATGTCTCAGACCACTCAAACCAACTCATGTACACCCCTATCTGTAAGGATTTAACTATACAGATCGTCATTGTAATAAACAAACCATAAGGAATGCCATTAAATAACTAATGACTTTTTAATTATATTCTGTAATGTTAGAATCAAGCAAATCTAGTAATATGTTATTTGTAGTCATTTTACATTTGTTAACTACATTATCAACTTTTCACCTCATTTTTATCAAAGATGATTTAGTTTATCAGTTAACTTATCAACCAACAACTAACTGACAAATAATATATAATTGCAAAAATATGTTTTCCAAATTGACAATTAGATCAAAATATGTTGCCCATCAAGAAGATTTTAAAACCAAAAAAAGTCGTCCTCTTGCCAATTCACCACTCTTAAAGGGTCTTTTCTGCCAATTCACCACTCTTAAAGGGTCTTTTCTGCAAATTCACTACTCTTAAAGGGTCTTTTCTGCCAATTCGCTACTCTTAAAGTAGTTGATGGGCCAATGCTTATCTTCTTTTGTACCTTTCCCAAATTATAACCAAAAGTAGTTTTATACCACAACTAAGTAAAGAGCAAATATGCTTGGAACCCACTACACATACATATGACCTTTGTCTCTGTCTGGTACCTGCATACACTTTACAACCATATATGCATTTTTGTAAGTAAATTCCAAAAATACCCCTCTTTAAAAGAGACGACTTTAAAAAATCTAACAAACTATCTTATAATAAAACTACTTGTAATCCCTTATCAAAAAGAAAGCCAACAGTGTTATAGTCGATATGAAGAATGGACAACGATGTGGTGACAGGGAGTGATACATTGTTGCGAGCGGTAGGTTTGAAGGATGTAGGGTTTGGAAATGGTAAAATCAATTTAGGTCTTTTTACTTTAAGACATTTCTAGTCGGTTACAAATAGTTTTTTTTTTTTTGTTAAAAGTATGTGGGTAACAAACTTTTAAAAGTTTGATGATTTATTTAGTACTATAAAAATGTTGAGGGACTTCATCATTTAAAATAAGAAAGTTTAATGATTTTTTCATTCAAAAAAAATAATAATTGAGAGACTTAATTATTTAAAATAAGAAAGTTTAATGGTTTTTCATTCAAAATAATAGTTCAGAAACTTAATCAATCTAAATGGATAGCTTGCTGGATTTTTATAAACTTTTGCCTGTTTAAAATAACAAAAATATTATATTCAATTAATGTTTTTTTTTTGTTATTTACTAATTATATCTAAATTTACAATTTACAACAAAGTATGGTTCTAAAGAATCATAAGAAAATAGTAAGATTCTTCTTTTTATTTATATTAAACCTTGCATGTAACTCTTTTTTATTAGTACTAGAAGATATTCGCGCAATGTAACGAGATACATTTTTATTTTAATATTTTGTTTTATTTTTTGTCTTTGTTGATATAATACAGTTTATGTAGTTTTGAAAAAAACAATGTTTTTACTTTTGAAAAAAAATAAATTTGAAGATATTATAAGATTTTGAAAAAGTACCTCGATATTAATGTCAAATTAACTATCTAAAAGCTCTCTTTTTTGTACAATTTCTTTAATTCAAATTTTTATTATAATTTAATTTAGGTCTAATTTTTATAAAGTAATTTATTTTTTACTTAACAATATAATTTTTATAAAGATAATAATTTTGTTAGAACTCAATGATTATTCTAACTATATTTTAGATTTTTTATATTTAAAATGAGATGTTTTAATAATTACGTTTATCTACAGTTAGTTATACGAATTTAAAATAGAGTTTTAATAAGTTGTACTTACGCACAATTTACTTGTAATCTTAAATTTCAAAATATACATTAATAAACAATAACTCATGCATAAATAATGGTTTTTAAATTTTTCTGTCAAATACTTTATAATATAGTATAGATAAAAAAACTGTAAATAAATAAAATATAATAATATATGTTTTATTATTTACAAATATAATAATTTGTGTTAAAAATTACGAGGGGGTAAGATGTAATTTGTTAGAAGTTCTGCCGTCGGATGAAGAAAAATCTTGCAAGTCTTATCGTGTACGTCAACTACACCGGATAATCACTCGGACAGGTAGGTATTTTATTTTATTTTATTTTTTTATTTTCGTAAAGAAATAGGATTTTTATTGGTGGTTTGTTTTTTGTTTGTTTGTGCAACTTACAACCCCGGAGACTAATTTACGAAAATGTAATCATTTAATCTTGAAGTTTCATATTTAGTCCTTCTAAATTCTTTCGTCATGTTTATCTGTTTAATGGTTCCCATAATATTATGGTTGGGTTCCGATGAGAAGGAAGTGATGGTGATAATGGTAAGAAGCGATCTCCACCATTTAATCAATCCTAATTGAAGATCAACATTAGTGAGATGCATCGAGATGCACCAGATCAATTCGCTTCTAAATCACAATTCATGAATGAGAGTGAAATTAATAGTAATCAAGGGTGAAAATCAATTCTTATGCTTCTCAGCTTAACTCAAAGATCCTTCGTCCAGTATGTTAAGTGCCTTTAAAACAACACCCTTTTGGTGCATTTGTTGGTATCTTAAGAAACATTTTATATCTAATTCGAATCTTTCAAGATGATATCAACTGTGAATTTGTTTAAGGATCGTGCTTACTAGCTGAAAGGACCAAATTTACCTAACTATGTTGAAAAGAGTTGTACACGGATCCTGTATAATAGATGGGGCTAGAGATGAAAATTTGAAACTCGAGTACTCACCTCTTATCTCACGCCTTGACAAGTAATAAGCCGGTGATGTGTATTGATATTTATACATGAAGTTGGTTCAGGGATGATACTCTTCGTCCATGATCTAATCATATAAATTCTACAACATCGTCATTATCATTTACTAATTAATGGGTACCTAATGAGTTCCTCATACCCGACAGAGATTCTTTTCTCTTGAATCAGTTAGGAGTTATACAAGATGGTAAGACAAAAACAGAATGCATAAAAAAGAATAGGGGTAAAATTGTAAATAGTTAACTTTTGCTAGATAGGGGACATGGGTGCACTCCCCCACCCTATTACCTTACCTAGTTGGGACAAAAGTGTCAAACACCATATAACTTAGTTTATTAAAACAATTGAATTGTTATTTCAGTAATCATATTTAATAGCTCAATTATTTACCGACTCTTAAAAAAGGTGTTAACGGGTCAACTTGATCCAACCCATTTTGACCCGTCATAAAAAATGTACGTTTTGGTTTGAGCTTGTTTTGTTTTGTAATCCGACCTATCTGACTCGTCTATTTTGCCACCTACAGTAACGACCAGGGGTGCTCATGGGTGAGGTTGATCGGGTCGAAGATATTTGAACAACCCAACCCAATGCTTGCGGTTTGAAAAATCTTAACCCAATTCAACCCAAACGAAAGTGCAACCCAACCCAAACCGTACGAGTTGGTCGGGTTGATACTTTGGTATATTAAAATATTCTTCTAACCTTGAATATGTTATTCCTTTACTCATAATTTCTTTTTCATCATCAACCATTTGATACAACTATTCCATACTTCTTACGTATATCACATTCAGTTAATTTTCTCAATTTACATATATATGTTTACAGTTACTGAACATATATACGAATTAGTTATATAGAGATGTGAATAGATTAAAAAAATGTGTATATGAATAACGTACGTGATAGTGTAATTGTCTAGTGTATATATTAATATAAATTCAACAATTATATTAAATCCAAGAAATAAATGGATATCGGGTTGTGTTGGGTTCAAATAATAGTAACCCAATATCAACCCGATACATACGGTTTGAAAATTTTACAACTCGATTAGACATCGGATAGCTTCGGATTGAGTTATTTTGCGTTAGGTTGATCGGGTTTTTGAGCACCTCTAGTAACGACAACGAAATTAAAGATGAAATTAGTAAAAGTTTTCAAGTTAAGGATGAAAATGGACAATTCAAACTCTAGGGATGAGAGCCGTATATTTAGCAATAGTCCGGGGACCATTTTGTGATTCATTTTTCAATGCTACTGTTGCATTGTCTCCCTCGCACAAAACAGAGAAGATTTGACTCTCGATTCAACTAAATACGAATCATCCGCCATTGTCTTATAGAGTAAGGTACGCACAAGTATTCTTCAGAATTTTATCATCTTTCTTGTTGATTCAACGGTACGTTTAATATCTGTTCTTAATTGCCTATCTATGCGTGATTGTTTCATTTGATGTTGAACGAACTAAAACTTTTTGCCTTGTGGTTTGTTTACTTTAGGATTTTAGATCTTATCTTCGTGTATTGTTCAATTGCTAGATTTCGTTTATAATTATTGTTTTTGTTTCTGTTTGGTACGAATTACTACTTCTATCAACTCTAATGAACATCTGATTGTAGAAAATTTGCTTATTATCAATCTTTATGTTGAATTTTGATTTTGATTTTGTTTTTGGTGGTTCTCGATGGTTTATTGTTGGACATTTGAGGTGGGTGATTTTATGAGGACATTGGACATAAATGTGAATACATAAAAACTTAGGGTTGATCTATAATCATCTTTGGATGATGCAAAATCTTTTACATCTAATTCAAGTTTATTAAACCGTTTGAAACCTAATTCTAAGGATGTACTGCTCATCTGCTAGTAATAGCTGTGAAGGACTGATGTGGTGCGTGGATGACCGAATTCATTTGTAGCTGTTAGATTGGAATTTCAATTGTGAGACGTGTTTGATGAAATCAACCCCATAATGGGCTATCAGCTATGATCAACCAGGTGTAGGAGGTATCTTGTACTATATGCATATATGTATAAATGGCTATGTAGATTTTTTTCTTCAAAACTTTTTATCTTTGTATTTGTGAATATAGATTTGAGCACAGAGGGAACATGATGAGAAAATTGTGAACTTCTTATAATTCCAATAAGATTTTTTTGGGGGGGTAGAGGGGACAGTACCCCAGGCAAAGATCTCTAAAACTTGAAAAACAACGTATTATTAGGAACCTGTCAGTAGCACTGCCAGACGTCTTAAGTTGATTTGTCCTAGTACATGGTTGTAGTAAGTAGTCTCAACTAATTTATGGTTGCAATTAATGGGCAGCTGTAAGATTTGAGGACCACCATTTGGGTATAAATGACAAGGGGAAGTAGCGGAAATAGGAGTATTGTCTACTTGGGGCTGAAACAAGCACAAACATATATTAGGTAGTGTTTGGAAGTACATAAGATGTTTGGAATTGGAGTTGAAGTCCCCCTACAAACACTTAAGATGATTAAGTAAAACTTCCATGTACCTAGTTAGTCCATTTCATTTTTGAAAATTAGATCTGGTACTATTGATATTAAAAAAAACTTGCACCGATGTTATTGTTCAGCTCAAAATGTGTTTGCTATGATACTAATTTTGTATGTTAACTCTAGTTATTAATTAAGACAATTCTTATCTAATATTGAAGTTCAAAGCTAATCCTTTTGATTCCTGAAGTTCACATATGAGCTCTAATATTGTGAAGTGAAAGTAATTCTTAGTATAGTAGCTTTCTTGCTACTTTTATATGGTACAAGCATGTTAGGGATCAGTACTGTTGCATAAGAATGATGATGAGCTTGTGGATACGTTAATAAAAAAAAATAAGCATTGTAAAATAACACCTAATACTTGTTTACATGCCTACATGAAAGTTGAGCAATTATTTCATGTTCTGTTTTCTAAATTATATTCAGTTGTGGCTTTATGATTGCACAAGTTTGTATTACTTTTCAGCCTACCCATCTAGTTTGTGATAAAATACATGTTGAGGGGTGGGGGATGGATTTCTTAGCATCATCTAGTTTTTGAAGTAAAGGTCTTTAATCTTTGTAATAAGCGACCATGAATTTCTTCTCTCTCTCTCTCTCTCTCTCTCTCTTGTTTACAGAGACCAGTGAACCTTCTGCTCGTTTATGCCAGCAAATATCTTGCATATTTCTTTTATTTCTATTTTTTCTATATTTCGACAAGTTGCCCAAGCTATAGTGACCACTGAGTTTGCCATTCTTTAATGTTATTCTTTACTACTGTTTTGGAGATATAAATGCTATCAGGAAATCTATGATCCAATAGCTAGGTCCTAGATTTTTAATGTAATTAAGGCTTTTTAACTTCTTATCTAATGTTGAGTAAAGCTGAAGATTGTTCCTTTTTATTATATAATGACTTGAGACTTGCACTATCTTTTGTTAACAGCAGAAGTAAGCTTCAGTCTTCAGTCAATTGCTATGCACTATGAGTTTTCTGTCATACTATTGTTCTGTTTTGGACAAATAGATCTGTCCATACTCTAAGATCATATCAGACAATCAAGAGCTGCAGCTGCATAAGGTGGGAGATTTTGAGCCTGATTAACTCAGAAAAGATGGAAGCTTGCCAGACCCTAAACTCAGATACAGGCAGTGGACTAAAACACTACCCTTTGACTCCTCTAAGGCTTGTAAGGGGTCTGGCATGCTTATTGGTTTACCTTTCTACTGCCTTCATGTTCTTAGTATATTTCAGTCCCGTGTTTGCAGTTTTCCTCCGCCTTTTTAGCGTACATTATAGTAGGAAGGCTTCGTCCTTTCTTTTTGGTCTGTGGTTAGCTTTGTGGCCCTTCTTGTTCGAAAAGATTAACAGAACCAAGGTGATTTTTTCTGGAGAGACTGTTCCAGAAAGGGAACGTGTTTTAGTTATTGCCAACCACAGAACAGAAGTTGATTGGATGTATCTTTGGGATCTTGCGCTGCGAAAGGGTTGCCTAGGATGCATCAAATATGTCCTTAAGAGCAGCTTGATGAAGCTACCTGTATTTGGTTGGGGATTTCATGTGTTTGAGTTCATATCAGTGGAGAGAAGGTGGGAAGTAGATGAAACTATCATGCGGAAAATGCTCTCAACCTTTACCAATCCATTGGACCCATTGTGGCTTGCTGTTTTTCCCGAGGGAACTGATTTTACGTAATTCCTCAATATCCCTTTCATCTCATATATGTGTTGCATATCATACTTCCAGCTCGTTCTATTTTTTGTTTGTATAAAATAACTGGCCTTCTTATGCTACAATATCAAATATATATCTGATTAAAAGAGAACCCTGAAAAATACTTGTTAACTCATGTCTTCCATTTGGTGATACTTCCTTCCCCATTTCTTTGTACAACCATCTATCCGGTATTGGTTATGTCTTGTAAATAACTGTCTCTACTCCACTACCACTTGCCCTTTTTGATAACCTGTCTTCCTTATATGCAGAGAACAAAAGTGCATAAAAAGTCAACTTTTTGCTGCAGAAAATGGATTACCTGAACTCAATAATGTGCTGCTTCCTAAAACAAGAGGTTTCTATGCTTGTGTGGAAATCCTAAGGGGGTCTCTGGATGCAGGTTATCCATCTGTATCATTTTTAATCAAGTATCTCATATATCATGAACTCCAAAATTTGATCCTGGAAGGAGATTCTTCATGTCTTTCTCTAAGATATGTTTTGATCATCGTATCTTGACCACTGAAAAATTGGATCTTTATATGTCCCTGAAAAGTTCTATTTTTATGTGGTTAGTCATGAAATGCATGACAAGTAAATTTGTATCTATGCTTGCTATTCAAGCGATGGTGTTGTTTCCATGCTGCAAGACCTATCGACCTTTTACTGATACTATACGTCTTGATCTTCCTCTTCCTCTTTCTCTATCTGTATGCTATGATCCCTCTATCTATATGCCAAGTTTACAAACAAGCCAATTTGTATTCAGCTTTCAGCTCTATCTGCTTTTTATGCTAGTTATTGACATCTGCTCTTTTTTACATGACTGTTTGAGCGTCAGAAATTGCACTTTAGATTAGATCGGAAAAGTAAACTTGATTTTTGATGGTCTAAACTCTTGCTTTTGCCCATTTTGGTCATGGATACTTCTCATGTATCGTTCAATAATATCAAACTATGAAGACAAGTTGGGGAAATTCTTGCTTGTAAATAAGCACTAACTTCATCTTGTACCATCACTATCCCATGTAAGCTTTCTGATCCTCACTGTCACCCCCATGCACCACCAAAATTGTAACAGTATTATCCGCTTTTGGATCATTTCGAATGTGAAATTCTAACATCCATCAAATTCGTATTCGCGTTTGAGTATGGTTTTGCTAATTGAATACAAATTTGTATATGTCTAGAGGAGCAGCTGCACATGATCCCAAATTCTTTTTGATGAGTTGGTATCCAAAAGTTTAGTAATGGCAGCCATGGTTTTTAACAAGGAACCACATTTTTCTTGTTGTAAATTAGGAAGAATTTGGTGTATAGATTTGTTAAGCATGATAGATTACGGGATCTTGAGTTCTGGAGTGAATTTAAAGTTGTTATAGTAACCACTTGTGACAAAATCATCTCTACTATGGTTGCAATATAAATCTAGAAAATATCTTTGCAGGTTTAAAAGGGCCTTTTACCAAATGCTTACCGGGTGTCACTTATCGTACCGGTTGAGCATGGCAAGGACCGAGGATCTTACCTAGTAGGTGAGGGAAAAGACTCTCACCAACAACCCATTTTGATGGCCGAGAATGTTAGCCAATAAGGTAGGTGAGGGTGGTGACTCCTGCTGAAAAGCGCTTACCCGGTAAGCATTTGGTAAACGGCTTACCATGATGGTAGAATGCCTACAGGTTTTAAGCTCTCCTGAGATATCTTAAATGTTGTTTAGTAGAGGTGCTGGCTATAACCCAAGACAGTATACTTCGATAACCAGTTTAATGTACACGAGTGTTGGGTTTTCCTGCTGTACGGCATCTATGTTTTCCTTATCTATTTTATATATTTCCATCACATCTATCCCTGATGCATTTTCTAGTTAACTGTACTCCTTGCTTCCTTGTACACGTTCTCGCCTGTAGCCGCTTGCTTGTTTCTTCTAATTTTTATTTTTGTAAGCCAAAAGTCTTTATAGAAACAGTCTCTGTACTCTTTGGGGGCAGATACAGATATATAACCTAAGATGCTGTATTTGTGTTTTTACATGTTCCTATTTCTCTTAATTTCAGTGTATGACGTGACTATCGCATACAAGAACCGGTGCCCCACTTTCACGGACAACGTGTTTGGCGTTGAACCGTCAGAAGTTCATGTTCATGTTCGACGCATCCCTCTTAAAGACATCCCAGCTTCAGAAAGTGAGTGCAACACGTGGCTATTAGATGCATTTCAACTGAAAGATCAATTGCTTTCGGATTTCATCGCTCAAGGTCATTTTCCTAACCAAGGAACCGAAGGAGATCTTTCGACACTCGGATGCCTGGTAAATTGTACAGCGGTAATAGCGATCACTTCTATATTCACATATCTTTCGTTTTTCTCGTCCCTTTGGTTCAAAGTTTACATTGTTCTGTCTTGTGCATACCTTGCTTGTGCGACTGCTTTCAATTTTCGTCCGTCGCCACTTGTTGAATATGTTACTCGAAAGAAATCGTCTTAGCGTTTATTGGCTTGGAAGAAGAATAAATTCTTGTAAAAGTGAAGTGAAAATGTACATTTTCTTTGTAGGTGTAAATTGGGATGATTACAATTCAATGAAATGAATACCTTCTGTCCTTTTATTGTCAATTGAGCATTGTTTTGTATTGAGTAAAGTCTGAATCATGACAGCTCTGTTTTCCCTTATTAAGCACTCTGGCTTCTTAAAAACGCTTGTCCATACGGTTCCTTAAGTCGACGGTCTTTATGAAAACAGTTTTATATCTCTTGAGAGGTTGCTTGCTAGCTGGTGGTATGGTTACTCGTGTATTTTTTTCAACTTAATTGAAAAAATCATCTTTAGCTAGTTATATTATACACTAGATCTTTTAAAAACTATTCAAGTAGCTGAAAATGTAACAATCTGGACCGGTCCTGTTGTAACCGGTCCCGTCAAAAATACTAATTGTAACTGGTTACGGTAACGGTCCCAGTCCCGGTCCTATATTAAAAAAGCATTTTCTTTTTATATTTTTTTTGATACATTTTTAATACACTTTAAAATATCTAATTAGTTCAATCAAATACACTTAAAAAATACGTTTTATTATAGTTTTATAATTGGTTTTCAATCAAATACATTTAAAAATTATGTTTTATTATAGTTTTATAATTGGTTTTTAATCAAATACACTTAAAAAAAATGTGTTTTATTGTAAATTTGTAATTTGATTTTCAATCAAATACACTTGGGAAGCTAGAAATACATTTAAAATTACATTTTTTTAAAATCGGGCCGGTCCTAGGCTGGGCTTATAACCGGTCCTGGGCTGGGCCTTGTTTTTGGATGAAAACCATAACTAGTCCTTAACCAGCGGTCCCAATCGGTCACGGGCCAAGCCGGTCCCGGTCCCAGTCCTCCGCCAATCCCGAGTCGGGCCGAGCCCATTTGGCCATTTCTTATAATTTTTCCATTAATTTTTCCAATTTTAGGTTATATCATACTGTCATATAATTTATCAGCTATTTTTTTTTATTATCAAACATGAATAATTTATTAGCTAATCTATAGCTTTTCAACTTGCTAGCTAGCGTATCAGCCAACATCTTATCAGATAGTTTGTCAAACATAGCCAAAGTAGCTTTTTAAAAACGTAGTTTATACACCAACTTATAGCTAATCAAATGAGGACTTTTTTAATAAACTCAAAAATAAGTTAGTTTATGGCTTCAAATATGGTCTCAATGAACTCCATCAGTTCTTTTTCCCAATTATGCCCTTTATATTTTACATGAATGATCCAACACACTCTATTTTCTTAGTTTATTTTACATTGTTAAATACAAATTTTGTCCTTGTGGTTTGCATAAATTAACAAGGCTCCTGAAATTTTTTATTACCGAGGGACGTCCCTATAGTTTTATTTTTATAACGGATATGGTTTTTTCTTTAACACCTTCAGTTAAGTTTCCGTTAGCGGGGTCAAATTTGTCTATTCACCATCCTCTTTCCTCAATAACATATTTGAACCCTCAAACTACTTTTCATTTTGTAACATATTTGGTCTCTCAAACTAATTTACATTATTATAGCAAATTTGGTCCCTCAAACTATTTTTATTTTTATAGCAGGTTTGCTCTACCCTCAACTTTCATTTTTAAAATTTGATCCCTTTATTTAACCAATAAAATTTGGTGGCACAGACATTTAATGTCTAAATATATTTAGCAAAATAATTAAATAAAATTTAAATATTAAATTTTACCATGAAATATTTTATCCTTTCAAAAATATCAGTTCCATGAAATCTTTTAGTTCAATTAAAACATAATTTTGATAAATATTTTTTAATCAGTTGAAAATTAAAAAAACTTTTAAATTAAATATCCGACAATATATTAAATAAATAAGACATAAAAATATA